TTTGTGTGTCCCTATAACGGGTTGGACTCACTTTCCGCACGGCTCTTCTCTCAGGGTGGCTTTGGGGAAGTAACTGGCAGCTCCGATGCCGACACGCCCCCTTGGGTGACATGTTCTCTTCAGTGACCACTCCTGGTCTTGGTCCACACCCCCTTCTGGGCGGGGGGGGGGGGGGGGTCACTGTTCTTCCTCCACTCTTCCTCCAGGGCCCTCCCTACTCCCTAGGACCCTCAGTTCTTCTCCCATTCTGCCTGCGTGGTTGCCCCCTGCAAACCTGCCTTGCGGACTTATGGCCTGGGGCTTCCCTGGCTCACTCTCTTCCAGGCTACCGCGCTGCCTCCTTGTGAACCACGGCTGCCTCCTTGCAGCCCGGCCTTTTAGGGCTGCCTCCATGCGAGCCCCACCTTCCATGACTGCCTCCTTGCAGCCCTGGGCCTCAGGCCGGGTAGCCTGGGTTTGTTAGGCTAAAGCCTCTCTCATTACAGGCAGACAGCCAGGTCCCTCTCCTCCTCCCAGGGGCTGCTCTTACAGTTGCTAGCTGGGTTCTCCTTATTTGCCTCAGCTGGGCTTCCCCCTGACTCCAGAGCTCAGCCCCTTAAAGGGCCAGTGCAGGGCAACGCTCTGCCACAGCCCCCCATGCTCCATGTACCGTCACAATCTGGCCCTGGACTCTTAGAGCTCTGTTCATTCGAGTCCATTGATCCCAGCCCCAAATCTGATCACGTCAGCTTTGTCAGGGCAGGAGTGAATTTCACTGTTAAAGCCATTCATTACTGCAGGCTAAATTGAATTACAGGCCACCTACCCAAGGTGCAAATCACCCTTAAAGTTACAGGAACATTGACCCAGACCAATAAGACCCACGACGTCAGGAAGAAACCACTATTCTGTGCCAGCATGAGAACAGCAAGACAGACAAAGAATCAGACAGGAACTGAGCAAGGGCACACAGCTGTAGCAGATCTACGCCCCAGCGCTCGGGGCACAGCGGGGGATGGCCGCTCTGTGCTCCTTACATAAGAACATAAGAACGGCCGTACTGGGTCAGACCAAAGGTCCATTTAGCCCAGTATCCTGTCTACCGACAGTGGCCAGCACCAGGTGCCCCAGAGAGGGTGGACCGAAGACAATGATCAAGCGATTTGTCTCCTGCCATCCCCCTCCAGCCTCTGACAAACAGAGGCCAAGGACACCATTTTATCCCCTGGCTAATAGCCTTTTATGGACCTACCCTCCATGAATTTATCCAGCTTCTCTTTAAACTCTATTATAGTCCTAGCCTTCACCGCCTCCTCTGGCAAGGAGTTCCACAGCTTGCTCTCCAGAGAGCATTTAAAGGCCCCAGGGCTTTGGCTGCTATTACTCCCATATTAGTAGCAGCTAATCACCGGGCTCTGGGGCAGCTACTCCCTTTGCCCCCCGCCAGGCCCTCCAATGGGGGAGGGGAGAAGGGGCAATTGCCTTGGGTACCAGCAATTCTAAAAGGCCAGGATTCTGGCTGCTGCTGCTACCGGAGACCTGGGCCCTTTCATCGCTGCGCTCTAAGTACTGGGGTGGGGAGGAAAGGGGGTGCATGGCATGCCACTGCTCCCGCCCCACCTCTTCTGTCTTTTGGGAGCAGGCAGCCACCCCCACCCACCTTCCAAGGGGCCAGGCCCCCCCCCCCCCCGCACTGATGCTCTGCTTCTTCCTGTTTGATGTAAATGCCAGATGTTACTTTTATTTGGATTGTGGTTGGCTACAGTAACTTGGTGCTACACATACCCAGCTGGTTTTGCTATTGTTAAATCTGGCAAGCCTGCCTATCTAGGCAGCGTTGCAGCAGCACAGCTGGAAAGCTACAGCTGCAGCATGTGTGGTGAAGATGTTCCGTGCCAACTCTGCTTCTTCCTGTTTGATGTAAATGCCAGATGTTACTTTTATTTGGATTGTGGTTGGCTACAGTAACTTGGTGCTACACATACCCAGCTGGTTTTGCTATTGTTAAATCTGGCAAGCCTGCCTATCTAGGCAGCGTTGCAGCAGCACAGCTGGAAAGCTACAGCTGCAGCATGTGTGGTGAAGATGTTCCGTGCCAACGGGGGAGAGCACTGGCAGCATAGCTTCCAAGCCCCCAAAAATACCACCGCGAGAAGCAGGAGCTCTGTGCGTGGGAGCAGCTCTCCCGCTGGCAACACTGTGCACGTTTTTTGCCAGCATAATCGAGGGGTGCTTTCTTGCCACCCGAGCAACATAAATTATGCTGGCATAAGACGACGTAGCTTCAAGTTTCCTAACTTCGTTTCAAAGAAATCCACCGTGTGTCAGCTCTGCAGGGGAGATCAGGGCAGGGAGGAAGACGAGCAGCAGAAGGGTTCTGCATCCCTACAGGATTTGGTGCACACACTTATTTTTTTTTTTATAAACAAAACACTTCACCAGTGCGCATGTGCCACTGGCAGGATTAGCAGCTATCCAGCTCATGCCTACACACAGCCAGCTCTTCAAAAAGCCATAATCAATCTGCCGTTGCTCCATCTCCCGTGTCTCTCGTAGCGTTCTCAGAGGAGGGAGGGGGGAATTCATGGACTTCAAGCCCAGAAGGGACCATTGTGATCGTCTGATCTGACCTCTTGCAGTGCATGGACCAGAGAATCTCCCCAACATAATTCTTAGCGCAGACCTTTTCAGGGAAAAAACCTCCTATCTCGATATAAAAATTTGTCAGCGAGACCGTACTGTGACCCTGGGTAAATTGTTCCACTGGTTAACTAACCTCGTTCTCAAAAACATATGCCTGCTTTTGTCTAGCGTTAGTGGATCGCGTTACACCTTTGTCTGCTCCACGAGAAGAGCGGCACTTGTAGGGGAAGCTGCAAGAGGACATGACCAGCGAGAAAGGAGCAGCTGCAGAACGGTGGCCTGAGATGAAAGCCAGACTCAACAGGCTGATCGCCAGGGTCCTAACTGTGAATAGAGGAGGAAGAAGTTTGCAAGATGAGAGGGCCGAGTGGAGGACTAAAGAAGTGACAGCCACTGACTGATCTTGTCACAGATCTGACTACAAGAGTGACCAGAAACTGAAAATAACTTTGACCCTAGGGATAAATTTAGAAGAAAATGGAAAGGAATTCCTCAGGCTGTAAGAGACTATGTAGATGGACTTAGCTGGTAGGACAGAAAAGCTGAAGAATGATTTTTTCTTTCTGTAGCACCCATGCCTATGCTTAGACTGCATCCCTCTGTTGACAGACAGAGGGATGCAAATCAAGCACTTCGAAAGTGCAAATTAAGCTGGGATTTAAATATCCTGTGCTTCATTTGCATAAACCCGGCTGCCGCTTTTTTTCGAAACGGAGCTTTTTCGAAAAAAATGGCAGTCTAGACGCGGATCTTTCAAAAATACAACCCTTTTTTGAAAGATTCCTTATCCCTCATAAAATGAGATTTACAAGGTCTTTCAAAACAGGGTTGTGTTTTCGAAAGATCCGTGTTTAGACTGCCGTTTTTATTTGAAAAAGCTCCATTTCAAAAAAAAGCAGCAGCCATTTTTATGCAAATGAAGCACAGGATATTTAAATCCCGGCTTCATTTGCACTTTCGATGTGCCTAATCTACATCTCTCTGTTGACAGAGAGGTGTAGTCTAGACTCACCCCATGTTATCCTTGAGTCGGAAGCTTCGTAAACAATATGCTGCAGCTCAGTCGCTAGATCAGGGCTGAGCGTGATCCGGCCTGCCAAGCCACTTGATCCTGCCCGGAGCCCACCTTGGCGGGGGTGTGTGAGAGACTTTGCATGCTCCTCTGCCCTTGGGCCCCGATTGGCTTGGGGCCGAGGTAGATAAGAGGTCTCTTTTCCATCCCACCCCATTAAGGGTGAGGCGTACAAGTTAACCATTCACATCCCTACTCATCACCTCAGGGGGAGAAGAGGTGAGATTCTGCCAAAAAGGTATTACAACCGCTGTGCCACCCTTAGAGATGATAACATTCGGTGTCCCTCCACCCCTGGCCAGTGTGGAATGAGCCCCGTCTGATGGGGTGGTTAGTGCTAACCCTGACACTCGTCTCACACACCATAATCACAGGAATAACTACTTTGCTCAGCCCTTGTGCAAGTGTGCAAGGAACGGATATCCCTTGGGTCCTTGCCCAGCCAAAATATCTGCATGGGAACCAGGCATGTACTCTCTGTAAGCCAGTAAAACACTCTGTTCAAATATTAAGAACGTGGGTCCCAAGTATTCATTTGTTACCTCTAGGAAGTTCATGTTTCTTTGTACACAATGGCTTTAGACTTCATTAATATTGTCAATTGCTACTTGAGTGCATTCTTAATTGTACTACAGGCAGCCATTATGCCTTCATCTTCATGATTTTTACTGCACTGCTATCCATTAAATAGATCATTTCAATTTAGCAACAATCAAAACACCCGCTTACACAAAGTCCTAACAATGAATCAGGCTGAGAATCACAAACAACCACGCAGCAGCAACAATAATCAAAAGCAAATAACGAATTAATTCAGCCAGTCAATACAGCACATTACAGATGTTTGCCATGCTAGGAAGTCCTATGCAAATAGTTCCACAGGTGAGTAAGCGCTCATCCATGGGTATAAAAGGTTTTTCAATCTGTGCCCTGCGTATTTAACTCAAATATTACCCCCACAACTTTTTAAAGTGCCTAACTGATTAAGAGGCTAAGTCCCAGACAGGTAAGTGGCTAACTCTAATTGAAAGTCAAGGACTTGAGTAAAATTTTCAAATGTTGTTGGGAAAAAGCTATAAATAGACAGTCATGAACCACAGGGGGGGAAAAAAAGCACGTGACATGCTTCATAAAAAAAAACCCCTTCTAATCTACTTTGTAGCTGTCCGATAATTTAAAATGTGTCAAACTAGTCAGTTTCTCAAAGATACTATCTCTCTAAGCAATGCAAATATGATACATTTAAACAATTACAAGCCATCTGAGACTTGTCATTGTCGGGGTTTCTTTTAAACCCACACAATACCTTGTTTATGGTTGAAAATGCCTTCATTCGCCACACCACAGCACAGCAGGGTGTTTCTTGATAGCTGGCCCATGAGAAATATCTAATAGAGATGCACAATGGAACAAATGAAAAACCAAGACAACAAATGCTTGGAGAGAAATAATCAAAGCTGGTATGGAATTACCCAAGTGGTTTTTATGTACTCCAGGGAACAATATTCATTCTTCTCACTGAAAGCGACTCTTGTACGAGAACCCATTTCCACATGTTGCTTGACATGTTTTTTCTAATTTAGAAGCCTTGTGATATTTAGTGGATTTTAATGTGCAGTAATTTTGAATTGAGCCTCCATAAGTAGTTTAAACAAATATAGTCACTATAAAAATAATCGACAGCTTCTGTCATTTGTTGGTTGTCAAGGCTCTCTGCATGAAATTTAATGAAATTTAAGTATGTTGTGTTTTTTTTTTTTTTTTAAAAAAAAGCCACGAAGTTCCAATATTTTGAATTGGAGGAAAAATTCAGACCATATTAGGAAGATGAAGAATTGCCAAGAATAAAAAAGGTGATTTATCAGGAGAAAGAAAATATGACATGGTTGGAATGCCTGAAGGGAATATCAAAGCCCAGAGGTTTCTTACTTCAGAATATTAAAAAATGTCAAATTTCAATAACTGAAGCAGCTCTAGCATAATAGTTGCACAGGTACGAAATCACAAGTCTGTCAAGACAGCAAACAAATTATTTGGAAATAAGTGTTGCCATCTGAGGCTACGTCTAGACTGCAGGTTTCTTCCACGAGAAGCTTTTTGTGGAAGAGATCTTCCACAAAAACTTCTCGTACAAGAGTGCGTCCACACTACAAAAGTGCATTGCAAAAGCAATGCGCTTTTGTGCAAGAGAGCATCCGGACTACATGGATGCTCTCTCGCAAGAAAACTCTGATTTCCAGTAACAGAATGGCCACCAGGGCACCTGTGCTTTTTCCGATAGGCTGTTTTTGCGCAACCCCCGTTTCCTGTCCACACGCAGGTTTTTGTGCAAGAGCTCTTGCGCAAAAAGGAGTTATTCCTCATAGAAAGAGGAATACCTATACCGCAAAAAGCCCTCTGTTCTGTCGATTCACTGTAAATTTACTTGTGCAAAACACGCTTGAGGTATGGATACGCTGCAGGTTTTTGCACAAAAACAGCTGTTTTTGTGCAAAAACCCTGTAGTGTAGACGTAACCTGATAGATCAGCTGTCTTCATCTTCTCTGCACTAAGGGCCAGATCCTTAGCTAGAGGAAGACAGTATTCATCCGCTGAAATGAGTGGATCAACACCAATTTACATCAGCAGATAACATGGCACTATGCATTTAGGATAGCCTTAAAAATTAAACCTTTCATTTTAATCCACCTGAACCCATTGCACTTACTTGCTGATGGATACAGACAAAGACAGCATTATGATAGTGTCATAGGTGAGTAAGCATCTGTTCCGATGAGCAGGCAGGTTGCAAAGAACAGTTCAGTGTATATTTAATTCACGGAGGAGATTAAACAGCTATTCTGCACATTACATAGGTCATATTTGTAAATTTTGCTTATCATGCCATCCTTCATCTAAAAGTGGAGTGAATTTGTTGTGTAAATCCAAAGCAGTTTTGATTTCTGCATAGGCTCTGTACTTGTTTATAGAGCTCCGTCTAGCTGGAGTTTGTGCTTATGTGCGTACCAGTAAAGCCACAAAAAAAGTGAAGGAGTTGGAGCAGCAGTATCAGAGTCTAGCTCTCCCATCACCTACAGAGGGAATCCAGGAGCATGGGATATGTTTGAAGACATATGTGCCACAGTTATACCATGGATCTTTTCATCCATAAAGAGCAGCATGCGGCAAGAGACTGGGACCAATAGAAATGCTGGTTTAGTTCCTGGCTCTGCCACAGACTCCCTAATGTGGACTTGGGCAAGTCATTTGGTCTTTGTGCCTCAATGCCCCCATTTGTAAAATGGGAATGATACTCCCCACTGCTCACTGTTATTTATCCATTTAGACTGTAAATACTTAGATATTTGTACAACACCTAGAACAACAGGGACTGGATCTCAGCTGCAGCTTTCTGGCACCATCACCATAAGCCAACAACAAGAATGTATGTTATTCATGCCAGGAGAATAATAAGCAGCCTTCTCAAATGTTGAAGTGGGAGGAGGGAGCTATGACCAATGAGAATATCATTACACAATTAACACCACTTCTGTGGCATTCGTACGTGCCTCTTGTGGGTACCAAAATCTTCTGTTGATCATAGCCATAATGTAACACATGCACATTAAGATAAATGCAGTATGTATTACTTACACATAAAGGTAATAGCAGCCTTTCTGGAAAAGAAAGGCATTTCACATTGTATTTCTTTTTCTGCTTTTTAGGATGGTCTGTGTTATGTTGGCTATTGAAGATCTGTTCTCTCATCTCTATCTATTTCTGGAGAACACTTTTCCATTAAGGCAACATTTATAGGTAGCTATTGATAATCAGTGGTCAATAGACATGCTTTCTAAGAAACTACAGCAGTCTGTAATAGATACTGTAGGGTTGCTATAAGCAAAAGTTTGTTTACATTCCAGTCTCTGGCTGCACGTTTAACCAATATTTTAAAAATTAACCCCACACCAAGTATTGTAAGTTAGTTTTAACAGATGTGGAGACAGAAGACATTTAAAAACACGTTTTATCATCTCAATCACAGGCTTTGTTGTGTAGGAAGACACAGTGTACCTATAAAAGTGTACGTGGAAGAAAAATATTTGTAAACTTTACAGTGCAGATGCTTACACTCTATTGTTAGTACTTAGATATTTGTCTCTAGTGCTCTGTAAGAGCATTTGGGAAGTCAACTGTCCTTACTTTCCTTATTATATATTGTCAAGAAATTTAATGGCTCTTATTGAAGTGTTTTTTAGAGCTCATTCTCTCATCCAACTACTCCAGAAAAAACTTCCCCCAATCTTTTGTGAAGAATATTGAATTGTGAAGTACTGTTCACTTAATCCTTCCCATTAGGACTTGCATTCCTCACTGCATCTCAATAAAGGCTTAGTACCTGTAGGGGATTGACCCCCGGAGGGGCTTGAGTCCGCCCCCTCAGTTACCAAAAGTCGTCTGCCACTCCACGCGACTCACTCTGTGCGTGCCCCACGGCGGTTGGGGGAAGGGGGTCCGGGCCCGCCCTCGCTCCGGACCCCAGCCCAGGGCCCTAAGGTCAGGGAAAGACTCCCCACCTAGCAGGGGGGGTCGAGACCCCTAAACTCCCCTGCTCTCAGGGTCCACGTCCCTGCCCTGGGCCACTTCTTCCCCCGGAACCAATCGGTTCACCTGGGTGCTCCCTCGGCCCCCACCCAGGGCCTCCAACACCAGCTTACGCTCGCTGGTCTTTGCGGGGGAAACGTCTCCTCTCCCCCCCTTGCCTGGCTCCCGGCCGCTTTTGAATGGGCCGCCGGTCGCAGGCAGATGACGTCCGTGCCTTCATCTGCCTGCGGCCCCTCCCCGGGCCGGGCGTCATGTGACGTCACCCCGCCATCACCCCGCCCCCGGCCTCTTCCGGCGCTATCTGCCGGCCCTGGC